GATACGTGTTTCTGTGGTTAAATTTGTGTTTTCCAGCTGTGTACTGACAGCATTCCTTTACTTAAGCAGTATTTTTTTTTTTGGACTGTTTTCCTTTTTTTTTTTTTTTTTTTTTTTCGCCCTCTCGCACCGATTTTGGGGTACTCAGAGGATGTCATCCATAAAAATAAAAAAGTGTGGCCTAAGTGCGCAAAACATGCAGGTAAAAAGTAAGATCCTCATAAAAGAGACATGTTCCCACAGTAGCATACTTAGTATACTTAGCACAGAACAGATACACGTATTTTAAGGGTTATTCAAAGTACTTGTAGCAAATAAAGACATAAAATACATAATATAGATCACTGAGCAAAAATATCAACACCCGATGTAAATTATGTATATAACACTTTATAGGCTACGGACAGTACGGACAGTAATCTGCAGCACATGATTAAACAACAAAATTCGCTTTGCATGATTTAATATATATTTAAAGCGAAAGTTGTATAACTGCTAATTCTGATTTTTTAAAATTATTGCGTTTAAAAGTATTGCGTTGGTCGCCTATGTATATTTGGTAAGTGTACAGTTAGTTATATGTCAATGACGGACTTAGGGTAAGTAGAAGAGGAGCTCAGTCCCTTTTGTTTCTTATTCTTCTCAGTCGCATTTTGTCTCACGATCTACACAACACATGTATCAGGCTAATATATACCATTTCTTCTTTTTCAGAGCAGACTTTCGCCTCCGAACTACAGGGTATATTGCAATTGATAGAATTGTCCGTTTTCTATATCATGCTTTATTGGCAAATTCGGCATAAAGAGAATAAAGTGTTTGAAATTTTTGCTCATGCGTCTCTGTGCGTGATATCTTGTACTATCAATGTTGTTGAAATATATCTAGTTATGTGTAGTTGATCAATTATTAAATTTACTTTATCGTGGGAGCTAACAAAAACCGCCCTTTTTCCTTTAATGTTGAGAAATGATGAAAAGCAAGGAAATAAGCTCGAAAATTATGCCGCTCGATTGAAAGAATTATTACGCTATAGAATCTTAGCCAAAACTATTACTGCCGTTAAGCCGAAACAATAAAAGCACAGTCCGGCATAAAAGTTTAACCTTTATTGTTTATGCACGCTATATTATAATATGCTATTCTATAGTACACAATTCTATAGTACGTTATGGTGAAACCAAAAAATGAAAAGAAACACTTATTTTGATACTATGGCAGCCAGGATAAACAGGATTGTCTAAAATATAGCAAACTTTTAGAATAATTTTGCACACGTGCATAAATATCGATCTAAAGGATGATCTAAATCAATGATCTAAATCAATACATGTATCACCTGTCTTATTCCAAACTACATAAATGTGATGATAATTTTGCCTACTCTATTAATGTTGTCCATATTGATACAGTTCTGAACAAATAACGTGTAGTACCAATGAAATAAAGCAAAAATATTATCAGAATGGACTATATTTTGTAAAATAGGCCTACAGAAAATCGTGCTGACTGCCCTGA